CTTCCACAAAGGCTCTTTGCTGAAAGGCTCCTCTATTTGACTATGTAATGAGTACTTCTCCAAAGGCTCCTCTATTTCATCCTGTGCTGAGTACTTCTCCAAAGGCTTTTTGCTGAAAAGCTTCTCTGTTTCAACTTCCGATGATGAACTGTCCTCTGTGACAATTATCATCCATGATAAATTGATTATATCATGATCTTCTCATAAGAAAAATCCGATTATCTCCGATATTATCACGACCCGATCATATCATGATCTTCTCACAAGAAAAATCCGATTATCTCCAATATTATCACGACCCGATCAATTTATTATGTTGCTATGAGCCCTAACCGTTATTATCATGACAACTATCTTATAGGATAGTAAAAAATGGGAAAGTATAAAATGACACCATCTACTTTTAATGAAAGGTGGTTTAATCTTGACCAGATATGAAATTGGGTGGCTGCAATTATTCTATTGACCAAGCTTAAACTTCAAAAAAAAAAAATTCAGACTTTATGACACATCCAAGCTATCAAATTTCACATCAAATGGTTGTAAGGAATTGTGACCCCTTCTATCAAAAGTAAATGTTCTCATTGTATATCACCCCATAAAAAACAACATTTTGGAACTTAATGATAACTTAGCATTTTAAATTTTAAGAAATAATGAATCAGTACCTAAGAAATAGCTTGAATATTTATGGTCTAAAGTATGAATTTGGGAAGAAATTTAGAACTTACTCAAATCTTCATTTGAAACTTTACTTACTCCATAAGAAATGAGATATATATTATAAATTCTGACAATTACCTGACATACATGACCTCGCCGAAAATATCTCAATAAAATTCGTTGCTGAAATATGACAATAATATTAAGGAACTGTCTACAAAGAGACTATTTATCTTTGGGTGCGGTTTCTATAGAGCCTAGGCTCTAAACAATCAAATTAGAACCTACCTTGAGAAATGTAGTTTAAATATTAAAAATCTTTGTGATAGCCTTAAAAGTATATTTTCATATTTATTGTAAAGCTTACAGCTTCAAAAATAGTGTAGATCGACATATCTATGAAAACTTGAAAATCTTGAAAATTGACGGTCCAAAAATACATTACAAAATACACTATTTCCAAAACTTGCGATCTATTTTTTTCTCATGTCCTTGCATCTTGATGTCGAGATGATCAATTTGAAGATATTTGGGCATCAAAACAACCTATTTTAGTGAAATGTTTGCCGTAGGTTCAAATTTGATTGTTTAGAGCCTTGTCTCTATATAAACTTTTTCCTTTATCTTTTATACAAGGAGGTCACAATCATTCTTGTCCTTTAGATTTTAAAAGAGGTGGTTGTAAGAGTATTATTGAATAGACACAAAGTTTCAAAAAATAATTTTCGGACTTTGTGACTCACCCTAGACCATCCAATTTGACATCTAATGAGTCAGAATAGTTGTTACTTCTATATACAAAAGGTAAATAGTCTCTTTGTAGATAATCCTTAATAATAATTATCATTTATTAACTCTTACAATAAATTTTTCCAATACGATAGAATATTCTCCCTTATGCGTTTAAACTCTACTCAGGCCTTAAACTGGGCCTAGTAGTGTAAAAGACAAAAAAAAGTCAGAATAAAAAACAAAAATATCTTGTAAAAAATTTGTTAAAATAATTGATAATTAAAAAAGATTAAAAGTAGTAATAATATTCATTAGAGGACCATGAAAATCCAAAAATGTACATAAAAAATGGATTATTCAAAATGTTGATATATAACTTGAAATTTCAAAAAAATAAAAGAACTTAAAATTGGAGGACTTCGAGAGAAAACTTCTTAAATCATTGAATAATCATATAAATGATATAAAATTATATTTACAAATTATTTAATTAAGTTTTTTTTTTAAAAAAATAAAGGGCATTTTTTAGTCATTTTCAACAAGGGCCAAGTTGACCCATGGAGCTCAACACCCAGTTATTCCGCCGAATACAAATGGACCCTCGGCTTTGTCCCGAAACGCTGAAGTGTTGCCATTCTTTGTGAAGAGTTGCTTTTTCATTTTAAAACTTTATATTTGGTTCGTTGAAAATAAGGGATCCACACTACGCACCATTTTTCACTCCTTTTCCTGCGATTACTAGGAAAAGAACAAAACATATGTATCATACTTATGGGATTGATCATTAAAGCGGTCAAATGATCTCAATTAATATTTTAGAGTCTAATTCTTTTTTCCATTTCACTTAAGTATCTTTTAAGTATCTCCTAAAAAAGTTCAAATTTTTTATCAAATTGCTCTTATTTAATATTCGAAAAGGGGGAATAAACAGAGCCATTGTAATAATTTGACCCCAAAAGGCCCCAATTGAATAATAAAATACCTCTATTTGT